AATCGACTAATAAAAAAACCGCTAATAAATGGCGTCCAAAGACTTGTTTATGTTGTTTTTTCTTTATGATGGCGTCTCAACCTCGTTGGTTTTGCGCAGCTACACGAGAGCCCTCTTGCGATATTTGTATTGTATTGAGAATAAGCAATTAGCAGATTTTTCGAATCTTACACTGGGAATGCCCAATTGAATTCAATTGGAAATTACCTATAGGTAGCTTTATCCAATCGAAACCGCTAAAAAACAGAATCCTAATTGGATTTTTCCATATTTTAAAGTATTGGGAATAACCAATTAGCAGATTCCTTTTTCGAATCTTACACTGGACTTGGACTTTTCCATCATGGAAAATACCAGTAAAAACCAATTTATGTTTTATATCGCACCCAATTAAGTCCAATTCAGACCCATTGATACCAACCAATACTTCAATTAGTTTCTACAGGAATTAATCGGTCATTTACAACAGGGAACGTTCATTATTCCTATTGTAAGGCAGGGAATTTATAAGTTTTATCATTAGGTAATCACTAAAAAACAACAATATTATGCAGTAGAAGTAGATAATAGTATTATTAAGTTTAATAAACTCTATTTTAGTCACGAATTTTAATAAGGCACGAGGGAGCTTGCGAGCGAATGTTTAATTAAATCAGTGTCTAGAAAAGTTTATAAACGAGTTGCATACTAGTTTACTGCCGGCGAAATTAAAAGGTCAGTACAATTTTCAAATGAACTTTTCAAACATTGGCGTTGCGAAACTATTTAATACTTTTGTATTGAAATAATAAAATAATTTTTGCATATAGCATTATTTTAACAAATGTATGACATTTGACAACTGTCAACTAACTTTAAACTATAGTTATACATTCAGCCCGTGACTAAAACCCTGTTGATAACTTCAGGCCGTGACTAAAACGCCAACTTGTCTATGGGTATATTTAAATGGTCACTTAGTGTAATGGAAAAATGTACGATAATTGGAGTTTTAAAGGTGGGAGTATGAGTATAAGAGACGTATAACCAGCCCCATTGCCTCATCACTCCCGGACCCCGTACAGACCTATGTTTACTTACGCCGATTTTTGTTCGCCCCCAGCAACTGCACGGCTTCACCCGTGTTAACTGGGTGCGAATGTCCATTGCGTTCCGTACTGTTCCCTATTTGGGACATGCGAATGGTTTTAATAGCCATTCTCGGGTTCGCCGAGCCGATGCTATACGCCCAGTAGGGTATAGAGGAGGAAGGATGGGAGGGATTGTTGGTTTTTGGGCGACAATTACGCCGACTTAAAACTAAGTTCGACCCGGAATCCCCCTTACTCCAAACATTTGGGATTAATATTTGGAGTTGAGGAGTTGTTATTTCGCTGTAGGGGTGTAGTTTCCTAGTCGAGGTCTTCGTCTTGTTCGTTATTGTCATTGTCCGTGTCCTGGTCAGATAGTTCCTGCACTTGGTAAAGTGTGTCAGTTGTTTTTATTTTATTTTATTTTTATTGTTGCTTAGTTGCTCCCAACTGGTCTTAAGACCAATTGTTAATTTGTGAGAAGTGAAGTAACGTGTCATGAAATGTGAAGCATGGTCTCCCGACTTTTTTGTCTGTAAGGTCTAGTTTAACGGTGGCTTGTTGTTGCGTTGCCTACGAGTGACGTGGGCCCAGTATTTTAATTGGGCTACTTTTACCCTTTTGGTATTGGTTTTGCCCATTAGCAGGTCGCGGGGATGTTGGTGATGGTAGTCGGGTAAGTCTGTCGTTAGTAGTGTAATGATCTTCCGTTCAAGTTTGCGTAATTTTTGTCCCAAGCACGTTTTGTGGTAGAGTTTTGTCTTTTTTTCTTAAATTCCAAAATTAAGTATTGCATTTATTTATTAGTTAAACAAATGACAAGCGCAATTATTCTGTTATCTAATGTTTACAAATCTAGTAGAGTTTGGTTATTATGCTTTTTTTTACTATGTTAGGGTTACATTGATTAATGTGTTAGTTTATTCTGTGTGTCTAGTGTTTATTATTGGTCTCATTTGTTGTTGAGAGATTTATTGTTCTACGCAGTGTGCCTTTCTTAGGGTTTTAAAGATATCTGTCGTGTTTAATTTGCAGATTATGTGTTAGGTCATGCATATTTGCTTAAGGTTACTTATCAATTTTTTGCGGATGGCCACCTCCCCTCTTGTTTTACCTCCTTTGTTTGTCCAGTAAAAAGCGTCCAATGACAGGTGGCACTTAACTCATTCATATCACTTAACACTTCACTCCTCATTGACCGTTACACCATTTTAGTTTCACTCAATGAAAATTGTTTGTTTTACTATAATTGGTTTGCACTTTTTCAAAATTATTGTTGGTTTTAATCTTTAAGCTACTACGTTTTAAGACTCTCTCGCTCTCGCGTGGTGCCTTCTCAAGTGCTGGAACCTGACTGATTGGAGTTTTAAAGGTGGGAGTAGAAAAAATAATTTTATTTTCTTTATCATTTATATTTTTACTTTTGATGCACACATACAAATTATTCTTATTTCTGTTGGAAAAATGTTTATTAAATTTTAAACTACACAGTATAATTTAAGTAGACCATTACCTAATACATAGTGGTTATTTTATTATGTTCGAAATATAGTGGAATGTTTATAAAATGGACAGACAAATTCTCGAATTTGTGAGTTTGTTATAAACTTTAATGCCTTAAGGGTATATTTTTTGGTAATTCCTTCAAGTGTTTCCATTTTTTGAAAGTATTTTTCCGCTATACTTGGAGTGGGAGTAGGGATCGAAACAGGATCGAGAGTAGTGGTAAGACATGGGGCAGATTGAACCTTAATATCCTTAATATTGACATCTTCAAGTTTGCGTATTTTTTTCTTAGGTTCCTGAAAAATAATGATGTATAAATGAATTTTTTGAATGGCATTATTTACCTTTTTTGAGTCCATAATATTACTAAATATATTATAATATACCAGGGGCCGTTTACACCAAAAATACTTGATATAAGTAACTCTTAAATTGAATAAGTAACACTAAAGCCCGCTACACAACAGCCCGGTAACAAGAACGGGAACCTAAACAGTAAAGGTGAGAGAGACTCAGCAATAGGGTGTCCGTTATTTACCAACTTGGTTTTTTTGTTTGCAGTTCCCCCTAAATTTTTAGTTTATGACCTAAAAAGAAGTATAAAAAAAATTATAAAAAAAATATTCATTTTAAACCGTGCCACAAAGACGGTACATTTTCCGTTTAAATAACATGGGGTTTCGGCAAGTTTTACATATATTTTTTTTCTCTGAAGCAAGTTAAAATACAGCAAAAAGTGATACATATTTTTATAGGAAATTGAACGCTGTACAAAAAAGCTTTCCTATGTTTTTTTCATAAATTCACTGATTTAAAAGTTATTTAAGGTTAAAGTTAAACTTGTAGTAATTTTTTAGATTTTTTTACTTCGGCTGCAAAATTATAATTATTTTTATGAAAATTAATTGTTTATTTTTGAAAATATGAGATTTTATTGTATTATTGAAAAAATAAAAATTATTAAAAAGAGATAAGTAAAAATTATTGACAAGAGATTTCGATAAATTCAATTTTTTTTATTACGTTAAACGAATATGGTATTAGTTTTACTCAATTTTAGTACGATTACTTTTTTATATAATATTTTTATTTCTGTGAAATTCTACAAAATTTTATACGATTTTATAAAATATTATACAATAAAAAGTACAGCTAATGACGTAGAAATTCTTTTAACAATTATTTTTACGACAAAATAAAATTCGTAGTCTTGAGTATAAGAGCAGACATTTCCGCTACACCAATTATCCTTTTCAAATAAGTTAAATGTATTTATCTACTTCTACATTGACCAGCTGTGACTTTATGGCGCTTTAGTCACGGGCTGAAGTTGACAATAAGTAGTGGCTTTTGGGAATTTTAGTCACGGGCTGAAATTAGCTTTATTATATATTAGAGAAAAGTGAGGTTAATTCCATTGACATTTCAAATGTTTAACAAATATAATTGGCTTTAAATTTTTTTTGTGTTCGTCGTAGATAAAGTATACTTAGTAGGCAACTCGCTTAATAAACTTATCTAGACACTTGTTTTTAATAAGCTTCGCTCGTGCCTAATAAAACTCGTAACTAAAATGGCGTTTTGTAAAATTTCACAGAAATAAAAATATTATGTAAAAAAAGTAATCGTTCTAAATTTGAGTAAAACTAGTACCAGATTCCTTTAATATAATACACAATTTTTAATTTATCGGAAGTTATTGTCAATAATTTTCACTTATCTCTTTTCAATAATTTTTACTTTTTCAATAATACACAAAATATTTTATATACATATTTTCAAAAATTAACAATTTATTTTCATAAAAATAATGATAATTTTGCAGTCAAAGTAAAAAAATCGAAAAAATTACTATTAGTTCAATTTTAACCTTAAATAACTTTTAAACCAGTGAATTTATCGAAAAATCATAGGAAAGTTTTTTTGTACAGCGTTCAATTTCCTATAAAAATATGTATCACTTTTTGCTGTATTTTTTCTTGCTTCAGAGAAAAAAAATATATGTAAAACTTGCCGAAACCCCATGTTATTTAAACGGAAAATGTATCGTCTTTGTGGCACGGTTTAAAATGAATATTTTTTTTATAATTCTTTTCAGGTCATAAACTAAAAATATAGGGGGCACTGCAAACAAAAAAACCAAGTTGGTAAATAACGGACACCCTACTCAGCAAACACTATCGATCAACAGTCGTTTTTTATTCTCTCCCACCTTAAATGTGCAGCGGGCTTAGGGCTGCCGTGCTAAGATAATTTTTATTATTTTTAACAATGATCTTTAGTAATTTATTACTTAATATTGTAGATACCGGGGTTAAGCTCAGCAGGTTTTTTAACTTAACTAAAGTATTGCTTGGTATAAATGGCCTGAAAGTTTATATCATTAAAGGTTTAAATTTAAATAAAACAAGTATGTAAATAAATCGCCATTTTATTAAAATATCTAAATACTGATGACAAGAAATGATAAATATTTTATATAATCATCTCTTAAGTATTGTAAAATTAATGTTATTAAACTCAACATTGGTGACAGTGAGCGGTAAATTCACTTTGTCGTCTGGAATAACCCTTGTGAGCCTTAATCTAGGAACTAGCGGAATTTGTTGTATTGTTTTTGCTTTCGCTAAATATTCGTCGATTTTAGGTAGATGCGGTGGAATAATTTTCCTTTTAGTTAGAGTTTGTTTGGCTTGTATGATATGTCGAGTACTTTCCCCCCACCACTTGTGAAATTGGGTTTCTTTTCCCTGATTACTTTGGATTTCCTCGCATCTATTGCAACATTTTATTTGGGAAGGCCTACATATGTGATTTAGGAATGTGTGAGTTGGAGCTGCGATCCTTTCCAACTAAAAATTAAATAAACTCCTCTTCATTTCAAAAACAACATTTTATAAAATAAACCTGCATCTATACCTGTAGGTACTATTTTTTATGAAAATTGGGTTTTTATGTCACAAAAAGACGCGTTGAACTGTGCAAATACAAAAAATGTAATTTTGATTGATATTGACGTGTTTATATTAGTAAATCCTGATAAAGTTCACACTGGGTACCTATCTAAAAAAATTGTATCGTGTAGAACGTTTTCCAGGATTACTTGGCGTTTTTAGAGAAACGTATATACCCACATTCTATATAAGGATCGGGACCTATTTTAATTCCGTTCTGAAAGTGGATATCTACATGTACACACAAAATAAAATATAATAATGTAGATACCCACGTTTTCCTAAGGAAACTCAAGTTATTTGCGTCTGACCTGCTTAAATACTGTAACTGCGTAGAAAAGTTTCTGAACAGGTTTTTATGAAGATCTAACTTCTTTTAAAGCAACCTATCTGGCTCAAAATCATGGAGGTGAAGAATTTGAGTTGTAGAGAATTTTCTTGGTTAAAACTACAATCTTCCCGTTAGCCGTTTATCAAAAGTCCTACATGTAATGACTTTAATTCAATACGTTCTTAGTTTAATTTTATTCCATCCAACATAAAATAATTTCGGGAACGCTTCCATAATTTATTAAAGCAAGTACAAGTGACCAATAAACACTACTTAGACATAGTTTGATTTAATATGCTTTATAACAAATTGAAAAAAAACATTTATATTTAAATAAAAATGCAAGCGATCTTTCCGAAGTGTTTGCGAACGGGGTGATAGCGTTTAATTGTTTAATAATTAAATTAAAGTGGTAAGTAAGATTAAATTTGATTTATGAATCAATTCAGCGTCATTATGAGAACGTTGTTGTACAATGTGTTCAGGTTAAGAATATATATTTTTGTCAATAATATGATAAAGAGTCGAGACCAATACATCATTATTTCAAAAATATTTTATTTCAAAATGTGTTTTTGAAGTTAGTGTTAGTCTATTTTTTGTATATTATGGTAAGTAGGGATGCACCGGAATTCCGGCGGTACCACTAAATCCGGCCGATCCGGCCAGTTGGCCGGAACTACCGTTCCGGCCGGATCGCTACGGCCGGATCGCTTTCCAGATATATTTTGTAATTGGTCAACAGAGAAGGGTGTGCGTGTTTCCTTACTGTGGTTCCCCGACTTCTTTTTAATTTTTTTATTATTGGCAGGTGGCTGCTATTCTCCAATTGAATGAGTAGAATTGTTTTAATTTTGTTAACGCTAATTAAAAATTATTATTTAAATAAAAAGTAATTTCTATCTAGGTAAAATTAATAGTAATAAACACTCTGCATACTGTAGCTAGTTTTAAAAAAAGTAAAAATAAATCAGCCTCAATATTTTCAATGTTTTACGTATAAAAATAGGCATGCACCGGATCGGCAAAATACCCGATCCGGTGCATCCCTAATGGTAAGTATCAACTAAAATAAAAAATATACCCCAAAAAGAAACATAGTAAAGCAGGCCGTTAAGAAGGATAACTGGAAAGAAATAAGTGAAACCTTTACAACAAATTCCAGAAAGTTCTGGAACACGATTAGATCGTTAAAAGGAAACAAGAAGGATATTAAAGGTAGGTATAACAAATCAAAACAATGAAACTAAAACTGAAATAAAATATATATATACACTATGGTGGGCCAAAAAAAACTTTTAATTTTTTTTTCTTTAGTTACCATGAAAATATCGTCCAAAATGACGAAACAAAATGTCTGATAAAGTTTAAGCTCTTAATATTAAGTCGTTTTTTCGCGTAAATACTATGAAATACTACGGTTAAATAAGTCATGACGTCACAGTTAATTCATATAACCATGGTTAGGTTTCTAACATTTGACATTTGTTTACTTGTTCATAACCTATAATTTTTAAAATGTGTTTTTACCTATTTATATTTAATTTCTATGCTTTTACAGGTGTAAATAAATTTATTTGCCTCTTCTTTTACCTTGTATATTCTTTTTCTATGAACCCTAGTTCTTACACCTTTTCTATACCTCTTTTTATATATAAACAGTTCTTCACTGTTGTTTACCATAATTAAAATCCAACAGTGTTTAACGTTTATACGAAAATTATTATTGTGAAACTCAAAATTTAGAATGGAACCCCAAAGAAAAAGACGAAGGTTGGCGGTATGTTTTGGAGAAGATATGTTTAGCACACAACATTATTCCTACATAAACATATTAAATATTTATATTAAAAAGAGAAAGACTATTAACCACGTTGAATAACTAGCTCAGCGATATAGTTTTATGGTCTGGTATTTGTGACGTCATAGTTAGGATTTTTGAACGCACTCTAAACGCAAAAATGCCTTAACTATTAACCAAGGTTAAGTTTAATGACCATAGTATTTCATGGTATTTACGCGAAAAAACGACTTTAATATTAAGCGGTGGCTCATCGCGATTTTTTATTTTCCATTCAAATAACACGGTAAAAAAACATTTTTTTGTTTGTAATTTTATTGCGTTTTAACGAATTAGTGAGTTATAGAAATCAATACATATTCTCGTAGGGAATTGAACGATCTACAAAAAAGATCTGATATGATTTTTTTGCTTAGTCGAATCGTTTAAAAGTTATTTGAGGTTAAAGTTCAACCTCAAATAGTAAATGATGACTTTTATAGTTTTTCATACTCTTTTACGAAATATTGGCTCAAGAACATAAAATATCATATTTTTCGTGAAGTTTATCAAGTGTTCTTCAGAAAAAAATACAATTTTTACGAAATATCAATAAACGTAAAAAAACCTTTACTTGATTTTTTTTAAAAATCGAATTTTTTTCTTTACATAAGTAATGACAAAAAGAATAATCTTTTTCTCAAAAAATAATAAATATTCTATTTACACTTGACTATTAGGTAATAAAATCCATGTTTCAATAATTTTTTAATTCAAATAAAAAATGTTATTTCATAACTTGTACTTTTTTCACTATCTTGGAATCAAACTAAATTTCTCTTGTTACAATTGGGATATTTTTGCCGGTGGTTTTTAACTACTCGCAATAAGTATTGCAAATTTTTCATTTTTAGTGAGACATTTGTTTTACTTTTCTATTTCTGCTCCATCATTGAGAACGCTAAGACGTTTGAAAAATACTAGTTTATCTTGATAGCTTTTATTCTGTGTCCAAAATTCTACATTCTTAGTGATAAAGTCAATGGGTAAATCAAATATATTAAATATATATATATATATAAAACCACCGGCAAAAATATCCCAATTGTAACAAGAAAAATTTAGTTTGATTCTAAGATAGTGAAAAAGTACAAGTTATAGAATAACATTTTTTATTTTAATTGAAAAATTATTGAAACATGGCTTTTATTACTCTAAATTACCTAATAGTCAAATGTAAATAGAATATTTATTATTTTTTAAGAAAATGATTAATTTTTTTTGTCATTACTATAATTTCGAATTAAAAAAAAATGAAATATAGAAAAAAAAAACGGTTTTTTCACGATTATTGATATTTCGTAAAAATTGTATTGTTTTCCCGAAGAACACTCGATAAACTTCACGAAAAATATGATATTTCATGTTTTTGAGACAATATTTCGTGATAGAGTATGAAAAACTATAAAAGTCATCATTTTCTATTTGAAGTTGAACTTTAACCTCAAATAACTTTTAAAAGAGTCGACTAAGCAAAAAATCATATCAGATCTTTTTTGTAGATCGTTCAATTCCCTACAAGAATATGTATTGATTTCTAAAACTCACTGATTCGTTAAAACGCAATAAAATTCCAAACAAAAAAATATATTTTTCCCGTGTTATTTAAATGGAATATAAAAAATCGCGATGAGCCACCTCTTAATATTGATATTAAGAGCTCAAACTTTATCAGAATTTTGTTTTCGTCATCTTGGACGATATTTTCATGGTAAAAAAAAGTTTTTTTTGGCCAACCCTAATATACACTCACCGAAAAAAAAAACCGGCACCTAAATTTTTTTGACAATTTTGACATGTCATAACTTTTTTATTTCTGATTTTATTGCAATGATTTTTTCGCTGGACTATAGATCAATTCATTTAGATTGCGCTGAAGTTTATCCTGATAAAATTTTGGATGCTTAAAGGTTTATATACCAGGGTTAATAAAAATGTTGTTTTTATACGTAAGTTTAAAACACCCTGTGGAAAAAACATGCAAATCAACCTTTTTCTAAACTGTTTTACGATAAATCTGGATGTGTTCCGAGTTTTTTGTTTTTTTACATCATCTGTCCATCTCGTTTCTTTTACGAGCTACGCTGTATTAAAAGTTGTTTAGAGCACAAACTGAAAGTTAATAACGGGTGTGTCCACCTCTAGCCGCAATCACAGCCTGCATTCTTCGTGGCATCGAATCAATTAGATTGATTATTTTTTCTTGCGTAATAGCTTTGTATTCTTCATTTAATGCTAACATGAGCTCGGCTAATGTTGTAGGCTTGATGAGACGGTAACGAACGCGTCTTTTTAATTCATTCCACAAATGATCAATTGGGTTGAGATCTGGGCTGCATGGTGGCCATTCCAACTTCATCCAAAAATTCATTTACTACATGCGCAATATGCGGTCTGGCATTGTCTTGCATGAGTATAAACTCTTCTCCAATGAAAGGGTCAAATGGAATGACAGTATATCTTCAATATATCTATGGGCATCAAGGGCTCCATTTTCTACAAATATTTTAGATGAAGTTGGAATTCGGAAGTTGGAATGGCCACCATGCAGCCCAGATCTCAACCCAATTGATCATTTGTGGGATGAATTAAAAAGACGCGTTCGTTACCGTCTCATCAAGCCTACAACATTAGCAGAGCTCAGGTTAGCATTAAATGAAGAATACGAAGCTATTCCACAAGAAAAAATAATCAATCTAATTGATTCGATGCCACGAAGAATGCAGGCTGTGATTGCGGCTAGTGGACACACCCGTTATTAACTTTCAGTTTGTGCCCTAAACAACTTTTAATACAGCTTTAGTAAAAATATTTTTAAATGTGACGTTGTTTCATTTAAAAATGCGTAGCTCGTAAAAGAAACGAGATGGACAGATGATGTAAAAAAACAAAAAACTCGGAACACATCCAGATTTATCGTAAAACAGTTTAGAAAAAGGTTGATTTGCGTGTTTTTTCCACAGGGTGTTTTAAACTTACGGATAAAAACAACATTTTTAACCCTGGTATATAAACCTTTAAGCATCCAAAAATTCATCAGGATAAACTGCAGAGCAATCTAAATGAATTGATCTATAGTCCAGTTAAAAAATCATTGCAATAAAATCAAAAATAAAAAAGTTATGACATGTCAAAATTGTCAAAAAAATTTAGGTGCCGGTTTTTTTTGTCGGTGAGTGTATATATATATATATATATATATATCTTAAAGTATGGGCAATTATTCCTCGAAAAAAATAAAAGATAATGAAGAAAGTAAGAAAAATTAAAACAGGTAGTAATACTGGGAAAGATATGAAGCCTTAATGGAGGGCAAACACAAATGAGGGAATTGAAGAAAGCATTTAGCAAAATAAAAATAGGAAAACCTAGTGGATACGACAAAATTGACCTGAAAGTATCTAGACTGGCAAAGAGACCTAAGATTTTGTTGGCCAAATGAAACAATACCAAAAGAATGAAAAAAAAAACATAATATTATACATTCATAAAAAGGAGATTCTTCTGACTGCAATAACTAAAGAACTTCTACAACCTGCGTTAAATTGTAAGTACACTGTATATATGGGTCGAGAAATGCTTCTTAAGGGAGCTACAGCCCCCGAAAGAGGAGCCCCTGATGATGGTTTTTATTTAATATCTCCAAAACCGTTCAAGATAGAAAAATTAAATTTTGAGAATTGATTAAACTCCTGCTAAATTGCATAAAATATCACCTGTCTTGAATAATTTTTCCTAAACATGGCAGCCGTGTTCCCTGGCCCAAGCTGAATCTTTTTCTTTAGTTGTGATTTCATTATGAATTCTTATGCCATGTTTAACAAGATGACCTTTTTTGTGTGTAAACCTCCAAAATAAAATAATCTTACAATCAAATCCTGGGACATGACACGTACAAAAAAGTTAGCCCCTTTCTATCTGACCCACCCCTCATCGAAAATTTGAATTTGTTATTATTAAATCTTATTGGCCATAAAGTTTGATCAATTTCCTAAATTTCGCGTTTCTATCTTCAACGGTATTGGAGATAAAAATAATATGTTAACTTTGTAAGATACTTATTTAAGAAAAGTGTTAAGATTGTGAATTTTTCAATTTTGAAAAATAAGAATATTTAAAAAATTAACATAAGAATTAAAATTTTTCCTGTTGCAAAAATAAAATGGTTTTGTTTAAAAAATTAATTTTTCCTACAAAAATTAAAAGTAAGCATAATCTTGGACGATGGAAAATGAATGGAGACATAGCTAATAGAGCAAATAAAAGTACCAAATTGTATTTTGCTGTAAATAAAACAAAATAAGGAAAGAAAGAAATAAGCAAAAAGGCAAAAATAAAAACGATAGATACGATAGCAATAATATATGGGGGGGACTTTAACTGGAATTAATTCGCTAGAGCCTCAGTATAAAATATTTGGATAAAACGCAAAAACACGTAGATTAAGATTTTTTTTGTTGGCTTTCCAGTCAAAGAAAAAGTTTCACCCCTTTTAAAGGGTAAATATTATCGAAGTTCATCAACAAAATGACCTTTTTTGTGTGTAAACATCCCAAACCCAACTTCTTTGTTTTTAATGGGATTATACTACTTGTGGCACCTTGTTTTAAAAAGAAAATTGACTGTGCAATTTTTTTCTTATTTTAATTTGATAGTTAATTTTTAATTTAAAAAACTTTATAAACCTTATAACACGAATGTGTTAGTGAAATAAGCAACAACAATGTACCACAAATATTACACATTTAAATACATTAGGTATTTTTCTGGTTATTTACAACAAAAATTGAAATAAAAGAACAGAATCTTATTTTTAACTAAATCTAGTATTATTTTTAATAAATTTTTAATTAAAAAAATTAAAATAAAATATTTATTTAAAAAAACCTTCCCGAAATGACTTGTCATTGTGTACGCTGCTCGGTTATACATTAATATATGATGACTTAGTTTAATTGGTAAATATTTAATAATACGGGAAATGCAATTTTAAACCTCCATAATTTTGACTCATCAGCAGTTTTGCGTATTAAGCAAAAAAAATTACATTTTTTTTAATGTGAAATACTTATGTAGGATACGGAAGCGAGACCTGGTTGTTAAGTTTGGGTTAGTTTGGTATGGCACAATGCACTGTACCTGCATAACCAAGATGACAGCTATTCGTCATAACCTTGAGGAATACTTTGCTACATTTAGCCTCTAGTGATAATACCTAATTACAGGCGGTGCGTTAACCACTTAGGGAACGGAGATACAGGTCTCGCTTCCGTATCCTACACGATTAGCGCACTCGGTTGCGCTAGCCATATAGGAGACGGAAAAATGCACCCCGGTTAACGCCGTAAAAGTTTGCAAGTGAATAAGTAATTAAGGCTAGGCCACAACGATAAGCCAACCGGCCCATCTGGACAGCAGAGATTTCGCTACAATCAAAGCGTGCCAAAAACCTTCAGGCGAGGTCAAAGAACAACGGACAGCCCGTGAAAGACAACGTATCAGGATTATGGCCTAATAATCAAGCTAAGTAATTTTTCTAATTGCATGTCTTATTAACAAATTATTTTATTCCAAAAAAATCTAAAAGTAAAACGTATTATACACCGAAACATAATTTCAAGAACTCCAGCTGGCACCAGAAAATAAACAGATTCCTATAGAGAATCACAACCCATAAATCATTACATAAACAAAACAGAAAAAGGCAGACATAAGACATTAGCTCCATCCCCCAAATAAATATTCGACTAATCCCATAAATAAACGCCACCATATAAATAAATAAACCCAACCCATAACACACATGGAAATAATAAATACGATCGTGGGCATAATTAAAATTCCATCCGACGGAAACTGCTTAGTGGCCAGCTTGGTCAACTAGCATTAAGACAAAGACTAAATAACCACTTAAGAACACACATCGAAACATACAGACCATATTTACAGGATGCGATCCTTGACCAACCCCACCGCTACGCGCATATTAACGACTGGGAACGTAAAACAGAGGCGTACTTAAAGGAACACGCACAAAACAGCTTCTGGGTGAGATTGGAAACAATAATAGCAGCATCGGACATATTTAACGTCGCAATCGAAATACATCACGAACAGGGGCGTACTGACAAGATATCACTACGATAGTATAGTACATATCTGGCCAACATTGACACAAGCCGTGGTGTCTTGCTTAACAGAGGCAGGAAAAATAACCAACATAAGAGCCTGTGGCAACGGGGAATACACGCAAACACAATCGACCGGTAACGGGGCGACAACTTTAGACAGTAGTACACAACAACACAATACAAAAATAGACACACTAACGTAAGGGGCTGTAGGCAAGAAGACAAGAGGGAAATAATTGACGACACACTATCCCAACTAAATCTAGACATTACAAGAAACATGCATGACAACTGAACGCGCTAAAACAAACACCTACGATTGGTACTTAAGCGGAGGACAAAACAATTCGATTCGACGAGGAGTAGCGATACTCTTAAGACGATCTAAGGCCCTCCAAACGACAAATTCTACCCCATCTCAGACAGCATCGCTTCAATAGTCCTAGCCTGCAACAAAAAGAGACTTTGCGTAATATCCACACACATTCCGTCGGATAAACGCAACTGGAAGACATACAGATTTAACAAAACAAATAGACATAAACAACAAAAAAGGGGCAAGGATAATTATAGGGAACTTCAACGCACACCTAGGGAAAACATTACACACAGACAAAGATAAATTCATCCGGACGACCCGGAGACGGACACACACTGACGAACCGGAAGTAAACCAACAAAGATAGGAGTAAGCAAAGAACTAACCTACCTACCCCCATTCAGGAATCCCAACTGAATTGGGTTATTACTAAAGCCCTGGTTGAGGAGGATTCCGGATTGTACTTAGGTTTGAGTCAGTTCAATGTCCTCCAAAAACCCTTCCTAAACTGGACGTATGGACCGACCCGGCTGACAAAAATCCGTGGAGCGGCCTTAACCATAGACACTGTCATCCACGACCTCCTATGGTGGATCTACCAGCCGGCGTAAAAACTTCCAAACACAGGTAATGCTGTGATTTGGCGGGATACGCAGGAGAACGCTGGGAGATTAGTGGAGGTTAATGTCTCCGGGGCCTGCCATACGTTCCCATACTCATACTCTTGTGGGCAAAGTAATACTTACTGTTGCCCAAACTTGCAGTAGCGTGTGGAAAAATATATAACTTTGCGCACTAATTAGGAAAATATCTATTTACCTCATTATCTTTTAATTTCTTTTTTGTTTTGGGAGGTTTCTTGACCTCTTCTTCAACTTTTTTCTTGGATTTACTGCTTTTGCTTTTTCCTGTTGAAGGGGTACCAAATAATCCTCTATGCTCTGCCATTTGAATCATATATTTATCGTCTAGTTTTATAATTTGCTAAAAACAATTTTATAAATATTAAGTAAGCGATTTTTATAATTTGATCATACTTTTCGTTGAAGTAATTGCAAAAAACATCCTCCTGTAGGTAAATTGGCACATTCTTGTTCGCTTGGACACAGCATTGGTAAATTAGGAACATCAAATATATCAGTGTCAGGCACTTTTATTTTATCCAATATGGTTTCGTCGCTTAATTCAGTTTTTAAGAGAATTGATGACTTATTGGCAACTTGTAAATTATCTCCTGCTTGGGCTTTATCAGTATTATTATTAATTTCCTAAAATAAATGTGTTAAATAGGTGAAATTGTTATCCTTTTTTGATAAAAAATGTTTTCATTGTTTTAGAATACATAATAGGCACATAAGTTTAGAATTTAGCTTTAAGAATGTTGAAATAAGGGGTAGGTATAAAGCAGGCAAAACAGTGAAAATTTTACATTTACAGTTTCTGTAGTAGTAGTAGTAGCTATGGGTATCGTAAGCTTTCCTTGAAGAGCAGCATGGTGGATTTTTGCAATTTTATTTATGTCATTTAAAGCCCTTACTACCATGCCTTTATTTTCTGCATGTAGCTCTGAATGTGTCTCGTACAAAACAAATTGTATCTGGAAAATGCATTTAATATCAATATCAACGAGTTTTTAAATTGAGTATCTCCTTTTGTTGGTGCATATTTTGGTTACTGTACCTGGGGCCTTGACATCGCAAATCTCAAAGTTTTTCTTTGTTCATCCAACACACTTGCAACTCTTTCCCTTCCTTCCTTTGTGTCCTCTGATTCTGTTAGGACTTGCAACATGGATAAATCGCCGCCTCTGCTGCATACCTAAAATTGCAAATCTAACAAAATATTATTTAAGAAATATTAGTTCGTTACTAGGTCGATTGGGTCCGATACAGCCGAATAACTGTTTGGGGGTGTAGCAAAAACTGCTACCACTTCTTCCATATAGGAAGCGTCTGGATGAGTGTCGATAAGACGTTCAGAGAATATAAGAATGTTATTCATGCCCAAGTCGTTAAAGTAGCTTTGGTATTCATCTTTTCTATAAAAAAAAACAAAGGAATTAATTGTCATATTTCTATCATATTTGTAATAATTAATATATAATAATGATTTCTTCTTTGCAATTTTGCTTGCAATCATGGGCGTTACCCAGGGGGTCCGATTTTTAATTCCTTGCATTAACGGTTTGCGATTAATTAACATTTTTATAAAATAAATCGCAGAAAAAAAAATTGACATTTATTCAAGTTTATTTAAATACACGAATTTGAACCAATTACGTATTTTTTTTAATTGAATAAAAAAAATTCTTCGACCAAACATTCGGCTTTAGCTTAAATTAGGCCAAAGGTTTAGTCAAAGCCTACGAAGAAATTTCGGAATTGCCTGTTAAATGTTTGGTTTCAGAAAGCCTTTCGCTCAATTTTGGTCGAAGGTAGAACTACAAATTGTTTTTATTTAACCTACAATTCATATCCACTTCCTATCATGTTCCTTCCCCTGGCACATTGGCTGGCGACGCCCTTGCTTGCAATCAATATTTGGGCTTCTCATCGACCTACATATTATTACCTTTTTGATTGCATTATCCAAACAAATTGTAAATGCAAAAAATTTGTAATTGAAATAAAAAAAATTAGTTAGGGAAATTAAAAAAGCGCCAGCGCATGTTGTCAGCGAAGGTCACAGCTTGGGAAACTTGACTTATTTAGGGGGCTCAATGAATAAAATAAAGCTTTTGTTAATTTGAACCTATTAATTTGTAAAAGCAGTTTTTTACCAGGTTACCCGTATACGGGTATACTTAAATAAGAGCAAGTATACCAAAATGTGCTAACCAAATAAAATGTTTATAATCTAACGTTTTAGTGATATATACCTCTGACCAGCGCTAAAGGCCAACAACTTCTTAATTTTTTCGTTATGTGACAAAAGTACAGCCAAATACGCAGTACTTCTAGGCGAATTCACATGCGTTTGTATCACACTTCCAGTTAATTCCAAATCATTGACAAGCTTATCAAAAGTTGCAGGTCCCAAACAAAACGATCTATCCTAAAAAATACTAAACCTAAATTTTTGTTTAACCCTCCACTGGTGAGGTGGGGTCTTACAGGACCCCATTATCACTAAATATTGTAAGTATTTTAAGTCTGTACGTATTGTAAGTATTTTAAGTCGGTACTAAGTTTTCAGCAGTAGCGTGCCGGATATGGGGCCGGTATTGGTAAGCAGTGGGAAGGAGAACGCCTGGTGGTAGGTCATAATTATATTTTTATTTTGCGCTAAATACTTAATGGGGTGCGTGGAGACCCCACGTCACCGTTAGTATTATTTCAACTCAACCTTTTTTTTATTAATGGTTAGTTTTTCAATAAAAAACCTAACCAATGGTGATGCCAATTTTGGGAAACATGGCATACTCTTACGATGGAAAATGACATTAACGTCATCAAAACAAATCGAGGATATAGATGATCAGAATGAACCGACTGCATCAGAAAGTAGTGAAAAAAGCAGAAAATGTTCAAAGAAAAGCTTTTTATGAAAGAAAAACCACAAAAATGAGCAAAAAAATCTGCAGATGTTCAGATGACCAAAACATGTTTAGAGAACCAAAAAAATACCTCACATCAATCACGTCAGAAGAAGAATTGCAGCAAACAATAATTTTGACCCAAAAAAGTTTATTCGAATGAATACATATTGTTGTAAGAAAAGGTTTTAAATTTCATCATTTTTCGATGCGCTTTTGTCACTTGTTTTTGTGATCAAAAAGAAGCGAGATTTCAAACTCGATCCTATTTAGTCATGAAAACAGGATCGACTCTTGAAGCTTTTTGATCGCGAAAACGTCCATCACTTTTTGCATCTGACATATTTAATATCTCTCATTTTTAACATCTGTAATTAGGTCCTATTTCCCGCTTTTTTAAGTAACATTGTTACATAACAATGTTACGTTGTTGTTACCTAAATGCATTATAATTGTTCTTGTTGTTATGTAACTTTTTAATGGATTACAATGATACATTGCCGTTATGAAAGTAAAACAGAACTGTAACGTAACATTAACCAAAATGTTATGCAACAATCGTAATATGTAACATTACAGAACTGTAACTTTACATAACCTGATGGTTGCAAATAGGTAACAATGTTAGGTTGCCGTTACTTTTTCGCAATCCAAGTTATGTTACTTAACGTTATGTACATGGCCTTTACGATTATGTAACATTGTTACATTGCAACGTTATTATGCTCGATATGAGAAAGTCCCGTCAGTTTAACGCTAAAGCGTATCAAATGATACATAATATCGTATTCTGATCATGCAGACTGTTTGAGGTCCAATGACAAATGGACATGGTGCGCTGTCTTAACTTTGTTTATATACCTAGCCGAGGTGGTAACACGAGCGAGATGTAAATGATGTGTATAAGTATAAGTTTGTTACGTAACATAAATGTAACTATTATTACAATAGTATTGCAATGTTACGTTGCTGTAATATTGCTTATTAGTAATTTTGCTACATTACAATAGTTTCACAATGTTACGTTATTGTTATATTGCTTATTGGTAACTTTGTTATATTACAATTGTTTCACAATGTTACATTGCTCATTTATATTTTAGTTATATTAAAATAGTATCGCAATGTTACGTTGTTGTTATATTGCCTATTGGTTAACTTTGAACAGTAAAAATGTTACTATTCGTTTAGGTAACTGTTGCGTTGCATTTTAGTAACATCGTTACATTGCAATGTGACTCCTATGTTACATACCAGCAATACTGTGTTACGTTAAATTTTGACCGAGTCTCTAATATAGTATATTATGTATCAAGTTTTATAAATGTCATTTTAGTTACGAGTTTTATTTGGCACGAGCGAAGCTTGCAAGCGAATGTTTAAAAAGGAGTGTCCAGAGATGTTTATAAAACGAGTTGCATACTTTACTTTATTTACGACGAACACAAATAAGTATTTAAAGCCAATTTTATTTGACATCTGTCAAATGTCAACGGATTTAACCTCACTTTTCCTCAATTTAAGCTGACTTCAGCCCGTGACTATAATGTCCAAACGCCACGAAATCGCAGCTTGTCAATGTAGGAGTAGATAATAGAATATTATGTACCGTCAAACGATTTAGGACTAAGGGGTCATTCGGGACAAATCGACGCCACCTTAGAAGTTAAGCGATTTTGCACATTTGGCGAATGTTTTTAAGACGAAAAATGGATGTTTCTTAAAGTAGACACGCTGGGCATCTTCTTGAAGGATGTGGGCATTAGTTCGCTCATAAACACCGGACATGGTGTTACGGTGGGCGCGACAAAAAAAATACGTAATTTTAATACAGCGCGAAACTCTTGTTGGTACTTGTACTTAAAATGATTTTTGAGCTCCGTCAATTTATTTAGAGTATCTCAAACATTTTAGTCACCTCTTGCGCCTAAGCAAAAGTTTGTAAGTTTTATAGTTTTTTTAATCAATTTTTTTTATTATTCTTGTCACTTTATGGCGTCAATTGGGACAATGGTCTGCACCTATAAAAGAACTCCTGTGGGGCAAAATTTATCAAAATTATGACCCGCGAACATTACAAATAGCGTTGTGTCAGATCCGAAGGGAAAGGATGACCCTCTTGTTTTATCTGCCAATTAAAATATAAAGGGCTTTATTTTAGGAGCTAAATAAATAGGCTTTTTTAATATGACGTCATCAATAAAAAAAATTGTTTTTTTTATATTTTTTGTCCCTATTGACCCCTTACGCAGGGTTAATCGAACATTTTCGAGCAAATAAGCCTCTGTCCTGATTGACCCCAAATGCGGGGTCAATCGGGACACCTCTAAAAATATTTTTTTGCGTTTACGATAAAAGCTAAAAACTCGCACGAAGCATTGTTTAAAAGTAGAAACAGAGGAGGTCACTTTCCTCCAAAAATTGTTGATTTATCTCATTTAAATAAAAAGATATTCAGGAAAATAACTGAAAATCGTCCCGATTCGCCCCGTTTGACGGTATCAAGTTTGATAAACGCCATTTTATACACGAATTTAATTTAGGCACGAGCGAGCTTGCGAACGAGTGCTTAAATTAATGAATGTATAGAAAAGTTTATAAACAAGGTGCATACTATACTTTTTCTACGACAAATACCTATTATTATCTTAAAATGATTTAAATCAAAAATTTGTATAGCGAACCATCTATAAAACAATGTGGCTCACCGTCAAATGTCAAATTTTTTATTTTATAAACACAGATTATAAAGGTTATAAATCGAAATGTATTTCTTGAAAATTGACAGTTTTTCACAGTGAAAGTAAAGAAAATGTTTTATAAGCACTTTACAGTGGAGTCCGTCTCCGAGTTTAAGTTATAGTTTACTGCAGGCGAAACTAAAAGGTCAGTTCAATGTTGAGAAACTATTTAATACTTTTGTATTTTTGTATTGAGATAATAAAATAATTTTCACATTTATAATATATACTATTATTTTACAAGAAAGGCACTTTATTTTAACGATTGTATGACATTTGTCAACTGTCAACAAACTTAAAACTAACTTCAGCCCCTGACTAAAGCGCCATAAAGTCACAACTTGTCAATGTGTATTTAAAAGATCACTTAGTGTCATGGAAACATGTACGATAAAGGGCGTTTTAAAGGTGGGAGTAGAAAATAGTATATTATGTATCAAGTTTATAAACGCCATTTTAGATACGAGTTTTATTAGCCACGAGCAAAGTTTTTATTAAAAATGAGTGTCTAGAAATGTTTATAAAACGAGTTGTATACTATACTTTATCTACGACGAAAACAAAGAAGTACCTATTTAATGCCAATTTTATTTGACATCTGTCAACTGTCAACAGATTTAACCTCACTTTTTCCCAATTTATTATAACTTAATCGATGGGGGAGTAGATAATGATATATTATGTATCAAGTTCGATAAAAGCCAATTTAGTCACGATTTTAATATAGCGAGCGAGCTTGCGAGCGAGTGCTTAATTAAATGAGTGTATATAAAAGTTTATAAACGAGTTGCATACTATACGACAAATACTTATTATTATCTAAAAATAATTTAAATTAAATATTTGTATAGGGCGACATCTATAAAAAAAATAGAGTAACTCGCGTAACAATTTCCAACTTGGGAATCTGTATTACTGGCGCGCCAGTCAAAATGTAAAATTTGTATGTGTAAATAAAAATTTATCCCTTCAACTAACAACCGTTTAAATGATGATATAGAAGCAGTTTTTCACAGTGAAAGTGAAGAGAATGTTTTATGGACATTTCATGTTTTAGTGATGCCGCGAGACGAGACGAGAAAAGTCCTTCTCTCGTCTCGTCTTGTGCAGCGAGAGAAAATGGGTCTCTCGTCTCGTCGAGAATGCTCTTTTCTCGCTCGAGAGTGCCTTTCTCTTGTCTCGTCTCGTTTCTCTTGTGGTAAAAGTACCTAAGTATAATTACAAAAATTATTTGGAATGAAATACGAATTCGTTTATATTTTTTTCCATAGAAATTTAAACTGGAAATAAAAAAAATGTGTGCCAAGACCACACTAATTAAGTAAGACTTTTTTCGCCGAAAATGTCGCGCATTTGAATCAAATGGTTGGATCTATGTGGAGTAGTTACATCTAGTATATAGGCTGAGTAGTTTTCAGATGGATGGATCAAATCATTTGATCCATCCATCTGAAAACTACTGCGCCTATATGATGTAACTACTCCACACAAGGGCGTCGCCAGAGAGGGGCAGGGGGGGCAGCTGCCCCCCCCTAGAGGTTAACGCTCACAAGTCACCCTGCTAATTGAAACGATAAACTGAAGATTTTTTTCCTGAAATTAAGAAGGCTTCAAAGATCCTCGATGCTTTACCTTGTACGACTGGTACAGTTGAAAGGTCATTCAGTAGCCTCAGGAGAATCAAAACCTGGTTGAGGAGCACCATGTTTGAAACTCGACTCAATGGCCTCGCAATAAGTGTACACAGGCAACACATTTTCAAAAACTTGGACGATTTCGTCAACAAAGTGTATAGTTATTTTGTTCGTTTTTTATTTTTTTTATGAAAAAAATTTTTATCTTGTTTTTATATGCTGCCCCCCCCTAGCTTACCGGCTGGCGACGCCCTTGACTCCACATAGATCCAACCATCTTGTACCTACTGCGCATGTCCGTCATTTTGAATCCGCAATTTTGTTTTTTTAATGGATATCAAATTCTGAATCAGGGACCCCATAAATATCTGAATACTAAATTTTACCCAAACCATTAAAGCCGAACGACAAATTTTCGTCATATTGGATCAGCCATTTTATTAAAAAAAAATGGATATCAAATTTGTAATCAGGCCCTCAAAAACCACATGTTGTTGATAAGTTTATTGAATAAGCAAAGCTTATTAAGCATACGGGTTTTTTAATAGTACCATAGATGTGCTTATACAGGGTAAATTTTAAAAATTATTATTTTATGAGTAATTTTTTCTTGGTTAACGTTAAGTTGTGTTATAAAATAATACAACGTTAACCATGAAAAAATTGTGTTTATTATGAAATGCGAATAATGTTCTCATTGTTCCAAATAAATATCGTCATTTATGTGCAAAATTATAATTTTTATGTAAAAAAAAATTGTTTATTTATTACCGGAATAATCGAGAGAACGAGAGGGAGCGAGAGCGAGAGAGGGTATTCTCTCGTCTCGTCTCGAGCCTTTTTTCGAGAGAAAATCGCCCTCTCGTCTCGTCGAGACTACACGAGACGAGAGGCGAGAATCTCTCGTATCGGCGGCATCACTATCTAATTTACTGCCGCCAAAATTTAAAGGTGAGTACAAAGTTGCATATAAACTTTTTAAATAGGTATTTGCTTTATTATTTTATAAGAAGGGCACTTTATTTTACCGATTTTATAACATTTGACAACTGCCAACCAACTTAAAATTAACTTCAGCCCGTGACTAAAAACGTGTTGCTAACTTCAGCCCACGACTTGTCAATGTGTGTTGGAAACATGTAGGAGAAAAAATATTTTTATGATTATATTATCAAAACTTACAAAATTAGATTGAAACTCTATCATGTTTTTATGATCAAATATGATTTAGTTTAAAACCTGATCGATTCTGATCAAATAAGACTGACCCTAAATAAATTAAAACCTGGTAATTGAACCTTAACGAAATATAATTGAAACTGGATCATGTTTTTATGATTAAATATGATCCAGTTGACTCATACTTTATAACATAATTGAACCTTACAAAATATGATCAAACCTCGGAAATCTGATTGAAGATAAAATATTGTATGAGATTGGGCTAAGAAGGGTCTTTTTGCTTTGAGCTCAGCACTAAAAGACTTACTTTTTAGCTTTATGACATAAATAACTATTTTCTTACTTGTAAAATAAGTTCGTGCTTTTTAACCAAAGAACTTCTCGATAGTTTGGTCCTCATGGAAGAAGGAAATTCTATTATTTGTGGACAATGCTTGTCCCACTTGAAGTTGTTGAAGTGTAAGTCCTTATCGGTGGTAGTTTCTTCGATTAACTTTAGTTGGAATTCCGATTCAATCTCCTTGCACAACGTGGAAGAGTTTGGTACTTTTATAGTGTTAACCCAACACGTAACGGGTTTCGAACCTTCGTTCGCTGACACTCTTTCATCCTGCAAATGTGGAGGAAGCAGTTCACTCAAAGATAAAGCGTTATTTTTTATTCTTAATCTTGACACGGCAGCAGCTAGTTTAATCCTTTGAGTCCACAAGGCATTTTCCACGAAAGATAAACCCGAGGAATCAAATAATTTTGCTGCTATTGCCTGAACTTTGGTCTCTCGTTTGTTAAAACTTCTGTGGTAAAGATCGTAGAGGAGAAGCCACACAAGGGCTGATTTTTCGACTAACTAGAAAGTTCAATTGTATAAAGTGTTTTTGTTTTATGTTTTAAATACCTTTGGGAAAACTCCAAAAAACTTGACGTCGTTTAAAGCTTCGTTTAATACGTTTTTATCTAAAACAAAGGGCTTTTACACTGTTCAAAGAAATTAGCGAAACGCATATTTGAAAGCCTCTCATTGTTTTAATAAATGACAAATCGGAGGATTTTTTGGGAATTTAATATTCTAATTAAATAATTATTTTCAATAGGATCTAAGGTTAAGAAACAATTTTAAAACCAAAATGTGCTGACTACATGCATGTAATATTGAAAAAGCTCAAGTAAAACTGAGAACGAGATGTCGAAGCGCATCTTGTGAAAGGTTCTTCCATTCTTTCACATAAGCCTCGGCCAAGTGTCATAAGGTTAGAGGTGCAGCGGGACTCTTCCTTATACGCATATTAAGTATATCCTAGGCGTGCTCTATCGGATTAAGGTCCGAACTCATTGCAGGCCAATCCATCACCTGGATTTCTTGCTCCCGGAGGAAGTTTCTTGTGAGATTTACCGTATGAATTCTACAATTGTTCTGTTGTAGTATAAATCCACCTCCCCGAAATTGTGGGCTAAAGGATAGCATCGACATAAATTCTGGCGTTTAAACGTTGGGGAACGACGACCAAGCCCCTGCGCCCATCTATACTCATTCCACCCCAAACCATTACCGAGCCAGTCAATTTCTTGTACGGTGGCTTCACTGTAACGTTCTCCAGGACAAAAGTGCTCTTTTAGTTCCATCCTTACTTCCTAAGAAGTCCCAGAAGTCATAGAATGGCTTGAGCGGGTTAGGGGTAGGAACGGGCCACGGGCTTAAAGTCCCCTTCGAAGGACTAATACACAATAGGACAAACACAAACGCCTGTACACTCTCACACGGCTATCAAACCGATAGATATTTGTATCGGAATATATGGTGTTTCTATAGGGTGTATCAGTATGTATAGGACCCATAGTTGGGATTTATGGTTGTTCTATAAGGATATCCACCCTTGATTTAGTTGCTATTGGTTTCAATGGGGAAAATACACATAAATGTATTTTATATATGTCTCTCTGGGGTATTTTAAGCAGGGAAACTGCGACTTATCAGTAAAGAGCACGGACCATCAGTGCCGAAGTTACCATTGCACATGTTTGCGAGAAAACTTTAGGCGAGCGATTTTATGGCCTCTGGCCGTGGTTAAACGAGAAACTCGCACAGGTACATTCGATGTCATATTAGCTTCCTTCAATCGACTTGGCAGTTTGATCAAAAATCCCCACACCGGTTGCATTCCGAAGAAGGTTTTGTAGCGCTCCCTTGCTTAAAATACCCGATAGAGACCTATATAAAATAATCTTTCGGGCGCTACCGGATTCAATATGTCCATTTGTGCATGTTTTTTCCGGATACTGCCCGATAGAAAATTTATAGGAAATTACCTATAGGCACACCATAACTTTTACATTTTCCCTTTTGAGACCGATAGCAAATAACTCAATGAAGGATATATATGGATATCCCTATAGAACATTTGACAAAATTTTATTAAAACCTATGGGGGAAACACTAATTTCTACATTTATGTGTATTTTCCCCATTGGATATCCCTATAGAACAACCATAAATCCCAACTATGGGTCCTATACAAACCGATACACCCTATAGAAACACCATACATTCCGATACAAATTTCTATCGGTTTGAACAGGGTCTCTATGGTGTATTTTAAGCAGGGTCGGGCAGTGGCAGTGCGTCGACGAAGGGATGATGTAACGATCTACCTGTCATCCTGAGGGGCTGTTTTTTGTTTACCCAGCTCTCCTGGAGTAGCTTCCAGTTATTTAGTATCTGTTCCAAACTCTGCAGATGGCGGATGGACTAGCTTGAAGTTCATTTGCTACGTAACGCATAAAACGTTCATCCGCAAGCAAAGCAAAGGCCCTCGCTACTTGGATTTCGCCAATAGAACGCATTTTTCATCAGGACACAACACTATTTTTTTTCAATTCGCTAAATGGCCAAGAATACTTTTTTTTGTTTAGTTCTCAGTTTTTTGCTGCTATTAATTATAAATATTGAAGTAAAATTGAATTTTTCTCTTACTGTTCACAAACACAAACAAACTAAGAGGTTTTCAAACATGCGTTTCGCTAATTTCCTTAAGCAGTGTTTATATAATCATTTTAAGTTCAGAGCAGCCACAGATTTTGTTGATATTTGGATATTGTATATATATTGGATATTTGGACAATTGTCCATTGTTATCCTAATATGTTGTTCATTTTTGAATGTTTTTTATATTTTTTATTTAAACTTAATTAAAGAGATATTCCTAGATAAAGAAGAATGTAAGGGATAAACGAAGCCAACCTCTAATGGAATGAGACAACTAAATGCACACAAACAAAAATACCCAGCAAAAAATGTGTAATCATCAGACACTATTGTCCGAGTTGTAGGGATGCTAACCCAAATAAGAGCCAAAGAAGGAAATATGTTTGCCATTTTAAAGAAAATATTAGTATAAAATTATTTACCAATATTTATTTTTTATACATATTAATAATATTCCTTTAAAGCCTTTCTTCTCCTATAAAACAAACAGTTTTGAAATTTTGGAAATAAATAGAAAGACAAATTGGGTTTTCAACAGTATTTACAGTAGACGAATACTTCTAAGGAGGACAGTTGGCAACTCTAATAATTTTGTACTAAAATAAATAACATCATGATGCATACATCTAAAAACATCGTATATAAGTGTATAAACCCTTCGCATTTCTTGTTCATCATCAAATTGTGTATTAATTGGAGGGGTTTGTAGTAAACATCCAGCTTTTGCTATATCACTAACAGTCCAAGGAATTGATTTTGTAGTAACATGTTTCTTTTTCTTTTTTAGTAAAACGGGAGGTTCACAAGGAACTTTTGTTTTAGGTCTTATATTCCACTCGTGTAATTTGACATTTTTTTCTTCCAGTAAATGGTCCAGCATGTTCCTAAAAATTAATTTGTACATATAAAACACCTACTGTTAATATATTTTACCAAAACAATAAAATTAATTTTATTTAACTTAATTTTTGACTGATTGACGTAAATTAAATATAATGACGCCATCAACTTGATGCTTATTTTAACCTTTTAAATTTATGTCTGACTGCAAAAAAGATTAATGGGTTTTAAAAACAATAGTTGTAGCTCTAAAAACGTTTAAAAACTATTTTAAGACAATATGTTTTTAAATTTCGGTGTTGGGTAGTGCTTCAAATTATGCTAAGAAAAAATGTATCTTCCACAATACCTATGCAGTGGATAAAATCAGTAGCAAAATTAGTGAATCATTACAAAGATGGATTACTCGGACATAGAATAGCTAAAAAATCTGCAACAAATATAAAAAAAATATTTGGTGAATCAGCAGTCTCAACTTCAAAGTTCGTTATTGCGCAATCTCCTGATGGTTATTATCGCCCAGCTGCAATAATTGGTAATAATAATAAACAAAAGAAAATAATCGTTGAATTTTATGATACTGGAAAAATCTGCGAAGTGAACTCGAAACAAACTTATATTAACCACAACAATTTACTTGGTTCAATGGTGAATTTTTATAAAAAAGGCGAAAGATGTAGAGGGAAGGTTTATGGTAATAATTTACCTATTTCGTGTACAAATTTTCCCACATTATTTTACATTAAAAAAAGAAACATATGGCATAAGGTGAAGATTAAGAGAATATTTTTGACCAGGTTTCAGTTTTTAAATTTAATAAATAAATGTGATTAATTTAATAAATAAAATGTTTAACTCACTTTGTTATTCCGTAAACTACTGGTCTTCGTTTAAGAAGCCTATTATAAACTTTTAATTTCCATTCGGAATCACTTGGAAATACAATTTTACCTATTTCACCATCTTGAAACATTGTTATAAACTAGCTAAATAATTTTTATTTTCAAAATTTATATCGTGTTCAGAAGTAATTTTGACTAATGAATATTGTGTGTTTTGGGTAATATTAATAAATATATCAATATTTAATTTATTGGAATCATGTTATATATTTGTAAGAGACAGCTCCTATTACTGAAACGAAATTAATGATTAAATTTTAAAATTTATAAATTAAAAAAAAAATGCGTTTTCTTCAATAAAGATACAAAGATTAAGCATAAATCTTATCACTTGAGGTAAAAATCATTTCGGAATATATTGATTTTTTTTTAAACTTCTTGTTCAAACTTAATATTACTTAAAAATATCAAAATTTCATAAAGGGTTTACAGTTTTAGGGATGGAGATCCTGATTCTAATATTTTTGGGATTATTGGAAAAAGTTCGGGGTTTGGGACCCATCCCAAAAAATATATATTATTAATTAATAACTGAAATTTTTTTGTTACTTATTTAAACATGTACTTATGACGAAAAATAATTTTCTTAACAAAATTGCCATAACAAACACAAAAGATTTTTTTATTTGTTTGTTTTGTGATGGGATTATTCCAAATATAAAAATGGCAAACACCTAAACTGCAGTGGTGATCTCGCCACTGACTACCGCCATATTTTTAGGGATGTTGATTGTAGCAATTTAACTACTTTGATCAAGAATACTAAATGCTTAAAAAACTAGTATAGAAAATTATGGTATTAGAGGTGGGGCGCTTGCTTGGGTGTCTAAATATCTGAAGAATAGGTGCCAGTATGTGACTCTTACACACAATCCCTCACGGAACATTCACATCCAATGGATATAACTAGCATATCCTAGATATTCAATGGATAACCATTGTATTTATAAATGTCCGACCCTGTTGCCCAGATAGCACAAGTACATCCTGAGGACGTCTGGGATGTCCTGAGGATATCGGCGAACGCCTATAGGCCGTCTATAGGAAGTCCACAGACTTTCGTCTCTCCTCAGTACGTCCCACAGTAGTCATTATTGGACATGTTTTGGCCGTATTCGGCCGTCCTATGGCCATTCCAAGAAATTGATTCCTGGATAGCAGTAGGTCCATAAACTGAACCGGAATTGGACAATGGTTCGACATTTAAGGTAGAATTAAAGCAGGCCTTTCACCTTGCGACTGGAAGCAGCTGAAAGAAGCCTGCTCTAACTATAAATAAACCAGTGAGTGTGAATTTAATTCACACAAAAAATAAAATAAACTTAATTCTTTAAACAAATCCATTATTTGTATAAGAAAACGTGCAAAATCTTCTATGCTAGTCCCACGCCAAAACAGCAGAGACAACCATGCAGAGATAAAGGTTTAACCATGGAGACAACTGCGCCTAGAATACGGTCAAATTAGACCAAAAAATAACAGCGAAGGTACATAAATTTACAACAGGCTGAAAATCAGTAAAATTGTTCAGAATATAATTATAAATAAAATTTTAAAGTTCCCCATCATTCTAGAACCTTTAAAAAATGTGTCCGAAATTCAAAAGAGAAATAAAAAAGGGTGTTTTAAAGCTATCAAGTATTGAATCTCCAACTCCAAATACACAATGTTATTGCTGGCACTAGTTTTGTATCTAACACTGATTTTAAAGATAATATTTTTGAGGTTACATTAACAAAAGTTACACCTGTGAATAGTATATTAATTGGGAACCATATCCCCAGAAATATCATCTATGGGATCAGAAGAAAACAAAAACAATGTTTATGTGGTGATTTTGGGGCAAGTATACTTGCTCCATATAAATATATATGTCATGTGGTTCCACCCTGATGTGGTTTGATGTCTTGACTTTTAGAAACAATTTATCAAAAGACCAAATGTTCAAGGAAGGAAAAGGAAACTGCTTATTCTAAATTCTAAAATCTTCTTTATTTATTATTAGTTATTTTAATTTCTCTTAAAAGTTACATATTAAGCAAATTACTTTGTGTTTTTGTTTTTCTTTTTTATGCATTTTTTTATAATGTAACAAAACTTAAAATAATATAGATATTTTATCTAAAAATTTTAGTTTTTCTACATTTTATAAAACAAATACTAAAAAAGAAGTATAAAAACATAAAATGATTTGCCGGATGCCTGTATCTTTTGCTATAGCCTTTGTATATCAATAAGTTACTTTCATGGAACGTTACATCAAAACATACTATATTTATTAATAAAATATGTATATAAAAGGTTAATTGGGCACATAGCACGCATGTTTTTTTCTTACTTTAATTGATGTTTCAAAGTATCGTTTTTTTGTACATTGCTGGCATGTGTCTGTGCTAGCTGGGACCACCCGCCACTGGTAATTACATCATTACCCTCATCCCTTATCGACGCCCTTATACAATGTTTCAAATATCTGTGGTGTAAAGAGTAATCCTAAAATGGTGTCAAAATCCAACACCAAGTGGTGTTAATATAACACCATGAATTATGGTTGAAAATGAACACCAAAACGGTGTTTATCTAAAAAATATTTGAGAAGAAAAAAGCTGTCAATACTTGAAGTATTTTAAGTTGGTGGAACGAACTTAAAACATTATCTCTAGCGAGTTGAAGGTTTCATTTTCTGGAATAATACCACTGGTAATATACTAGTAATGCGTCAAGGAAACAGGAATTCCTGTTTCCTTTTTTTTTCTTTTTTCTGTGTAGTATGATTTAATTTGACCACAAACACATAATATTTAACACTGAAAAGGAGTTCAATTTACACCAGGTAAAATTTATTTTAATACTGTGTGAAAGTTAAATTTACACCATTTTAGTATTTGAATTTACACCGGACCAACGAATCCTATTTAACACCATTTTGGTTTGTATCGATATAGACCATATATGGTGTTAATTTGGTGTTAAAATGGTCATGAAATTTTGAACAGTGTAATGCTCGTTTCAATCGCATTAGTGTGCAAGTTTTTTTGTAATGTTAATTTTCACATTTTTATTTTTTAACAATTATTTATGTCATTAGGCTAGAAAGACCTCCTGGGTCGAATGGCATGCAACATTTTATTTTCAAGTAGTAATGTTTTTTTTATTTTTTAACTTTGAAGTTATTAATATATTGTTATATAAAATATTTGGTAACTTTTTAAAAAAAATCCAGTTATTCTTGAACCGATAAATCGATTTTGATGAAACTTTAGCATTTCAAAAGTAATAAAATTTACTTTGGAAATTTAATTTTTTCACAATATTTTAGTAAACTTTTTACAAACACCATGGAATCTAAATCTGTCGAGAAAAAATTCGAGCGGCAATTAATTTGTTTATTATGATTAAAATAATGCTGTGTGGTATAATAGCAAACACGTTTTCCAAAAGCGCATTTATTTTGACCCTTTTACATAATTTGGCGATGATTAAATACAAAAAATAATTTTTTTATTAAACTTTTTTTTTAAGTTGATAGTAGAAGAAAAAAATGAGCATGATACTGTTGCGATTACCAAGTTTAACATAATCAATGATTTACTAGAAAAAGTTTTGTTTGTTTAACCGTCCCAATATTAAATAAAAAAAGGTCTTCAAAAATACGCTCTTGGAAAATTGGTTTAACACAGCATTATTTTAATCAAAACTCCTAAGGTTATGACCGCTCGGATTTTTTCTCGACGGATTTGGATTTTTTTTTAAGTTTTTTTGCATTCAACATTTTCCAACAAAAACCAAACAAAAAACTACTGAGCCTAGTTTAAACGATTAAATTCATAGTTCTCGTGATATAATATATGATTATTTATTTTTTAATTTCTGTCAAAAAAATTACTTTTTTAAACCATGCAAGCTGGACTTTTTATTTTTTTAATATCTCTTCAAATACAGATTTTAGAAGTGTGTCCCATTTATACGAAAACACTCTGTACATTTGCATTATATTAAGGTCGAAAATTGATACTGCCAAAGTTGTTGTTTTGCAAAAGCAAAATCATAACAAAAAATTAAAATTTTGACTCACTTTTCGTAATCTATTTGTCTTCTTTTAAGAAGCCCATTGTAAACTTGTAATTTCCATTGAGGATTACTTGGGAACACAATATTTCTTATTGCGCCGTCTTGAAACATTATGAATCTAATGCATCAAAACATTTATTTTCAATTTATATCGTGTATTGAGGTAATTTTAGTAAGTTTTCTAATTTATATTAAATTTTACAGGTAATGTACACTTTGTGTTGGTTAATGTCAATAAATTTAGCAATATTTCATATAATTGTAGTAGAATTAGTTATGTTTTAGAATAATTTTCTTTAATAATCTTATTTTTAACGTAAGTATTTAAATTATGATTTATATTTTTAAATAGTGGGAATTTCAAGCTCACACAAGGAAGAAAAGATACTAAAAAGTATTACCTACGAGTAGCGTTTTAAAGCGTCGAAAAAAAAGAAAAAAATGGGGCATTGGAGCATTTTTTGGAAATTTTAATAAAAGAAGCATTTTGTATGTTATTTATAAATAACATACATACAGCCCGTTTAGAGAAAAACCGAATATATCTTATACAGGGTGACCCAGTGCTCTGTGATCGGTGCATATTTTTTTTGCTATTAAAGATATCGATATGAAATTTTTATAGAAAATATGATCCAACTAAACCTATTTTTCAAAATTATAATTATTCTGCAAAATATACATAACGTTCCATTAAAAATAAGAAAGATATTAACGTTTAAAGTTTGCCAAATTATCAAGTTATTGGTTTGAAATATGGATAAGTTTTATACAGGATATTTAAAACAATGTTTCAAGATTCCAAAAATCCAAACTGCATACCAATAGACCTAATAACAAAGAAGTTATAGGCTATTTTTGTTGAAGGCGCAACTGTCAAATTTTTACGAAAAAAATTAATAACTCGAAAACTATTGAGTTTAGGTATAGGGAATGTTATAGAAATTTTATTAGGAATTACATATGAAATTTAAAAATCAAAAAATATACAGGGTATTCTATTTGAAATAACAATTTTGATGTCACTTCCGGTGAAACCGGAAGTGGAATTTTGTTCAAAATAATTTTGGAAAATAGGTTTAGTTGGATCATATTTTCTATAAATATTTCATATCGATATCTTCAATATCAAAAAAAATATGGACCGATCACAGAGCAGTGGGTCACCCTGTATATATGGGGCGTGGCCTCGCCTCCCTCCAACGCGCGACACAGTAGCTAAGCAAATAGCTCGACCTTTTGTCTTGTCGTTTATCACACAAGCTACTGTGACGAGCCTTGGAGGGAGGCGAGGCCACGCCCCATATATATATATAGATATATTAGGTTTTATTCTGAACTGGCTGTATATATTTTTACTTGTTAACCTATAGGTCATTTTCACCTGAAGGGATAGCCCTATAGAGCTATCCCTGAAGGTGAAAATGCGCTTTCTCCTTAAAAATAATGATAATTTTTAGATTTTTCTTGCAATAGGCCGTACGTTTAAACGCGTTGTAATGAACGTCCACGTTGTCCTTCATCGCTTAAATTTATTTTGTAATGTGAAATATTAAATTATTTTGAAAAAATAAATATGTTATTTTAATTTATAATCGGAAATTTATCACAGGTCACCCTGTATATATGTAGATCATATTAGTAAAAGACACCACTAGAAATATTTTTGTTATTTTCTGAATCAGCATCATTAACTCACTTTTCTGAGTCGTCCATGAGCCTTTGTCTTTCGACAAGTTTGTAATAAACTTTGGTTCTCCACTCGTCATCACTCGGCAAAATGACATCGCAATATTCGTCATCCACGTCACTGGTATCGCAATCGGATAACATTCTTTTCATTAGGTCGGGAAGCAGCCCGAATACATTTCCGTCTCCGAGAGCACTGAGATTCACCCATAACTGGTGATCGCTGCCTGTTTCCCCCATTTTCCTTTATTGAAATATTGCTCCTAAAACTAATATACAATTAAATAATGGATATACTAACCTAAATGGATTTTAGAATCTCACAAGCACGCGATATCAATAAAGTTTTATTTCTCAATAGATCTACGTATTACCCATAATAATCATTTATTGTAAGTATACATGCATGGCTTTGATATGATTGAGAAGAAACTACTCTAGGCAGTTGAGATTTTAAATTTTGTTTTTTGTTTGTTTTCTGGATAAATGGTATCTATACAGGCCAAAAAAATCGAAAATCAATTATTTAAATATGACCCAAATAAGTTTTATTCCCTGATTTCAAATTTGTTGTGTATAATTTTATAAATTAAAATTTAAAATTTAATATGAATCAAAACGCGCCAAACCTGCCACATATCTGCCTCGATATCAGCGATTTTGACCAAACTTGAAACAGTACTCCAATATTTATCAAATTAAATGACATGACAAAGCTTTAAAGTAGGCCGGTCAGGGTTTTAAAAACAAAATAATTTTAAATCACACTTTTATGCGGTTCATCATGGCCCACTTTATTATATTATATATCTTTAAAATAAGTTTTTGCAAAAAATAAATATCGATTTTTTTCTCAAATAAGCCATTTTTATTTTACTATTTTTTGCGTAGTATTAAGATTAAAGTATCCCAAGTCGATTCCCACATAGGGAAAGGCTCTGCACTTGAAGTATTTGCTTGTGTTGGGTTGGGGAATATTTTTTATTAGTTTTTTAATATTTTGTTTGTTTTGATTAATTAACATGAATGAGCTTCAAATAAACAAAAAAATAGGAATACATAAACAAATACCATTTAGTTCAGTATATTTAGGTTTGATTATTTCAATTAATTCGGTAAGTAAAATTTTTTTTGCGATCATTAGGGTACCATATAGGAAATTAAAATCCAATTTTACTCCTTGCAGCTTTTCCGTCATCTTGGTTTTAGGGGTGAATTCGCGAATAACAGCCGTATTTTTTATTTTATCGGAAAAATAGATTATACCATTTTTGATATGTAAAATTAGTTCTACAAATTTGAATACTGGATTTTTTAAAAATATTTTTCATATTATACAACTGTATCAAGTTTGGTCAAAATCGCTGATATCGAGGCAGATAGGTGGCAGGTTTGGCGCGTTTTGCCTCGTATCTAAAATTCTGTATGGCAAATTTAAAATCATGTTTTGTTAACCAATTTAAAAAATTCAAAGATATTTAATTTTTAAGTTTTATAGCATCCCATTAGGAAACACCCAAGGGCGCCCACAGAAAATTGTCTAGGGGGGAAACTATAAATGACAGTCGAGAAATCTAAGAAAAATATTTTTTATTAAACAATTTAGAAACATTTAGTTGAACCTGCTTAACTTCGATATTTATTTTTGTACCAAGTTAAGAGCAAATAGGGACCAAGAAGAAACAAAAAAATACTTTTTACTTCCTTATTTTTATTTATGAATAATACAATACTAACAATATCAAAACAACAAACAAACAAAATAAAAACACAGTAACAAAGGAACTAATAAGTTATTAAAATAAAATAAATTTGGTTAAAGCTTTTAAATCAAAAAAACTTAAAAAAACAACAATCAAAAATAAAAAAACATTCCAAAAAAATATTTATAGAAACGAAATCCTGAATATAGGAAAGAGCTGGTATACGAACTTAGATATATTATTTTATTTTCAAAAATTTACAAAAACTAAAACTAAAAAAGGTTATTTCTGCGCAGAGAGGAGTTTCAGTATTTTTGACTCTTTAGCAAATTCATTTATTGCACGTTCTATAAATGTTTTTTTTTTCAAGCGGCCATGATATACAACCTTATATGCATGTATAGAGATAGTTAAAGTGCGTCTTTTTCATTAGCGGCAAAAAACTCAAAAAAAGCCTAGGGATAGAAGTAAATCCATAGGTGACTCAATAGACGTCAAATAATAAAATTAATTTATCATTTCATACAAAGCAATCACGATGTATTAATTATATTAATTATAATCGCACGGAATATTAAGTGATTATTTATTAAATTTTAATTGAACGAAATAAAGAACAACTAGTTAATTAGTATAATATTATGATGATAGACGAGTCGCCAATGTCGGAACTCCAAACAAATGTCAGTACGTCAAAATTAATTCAAGCGCAGCATTTTGACAGAGCAGTGTTTATTTTTAGTTTAGGATATTTATCGGCATTGTAAGTAAGGGTTGTACTTTTTTTTAGTTTTTATCAATAATTTCTAATGCTTTTAGCCAAAATTTTATACCAGATGAGTTATGAGTAAATAAAATAATTCTATTGCTTATCCTATTTATATTACGCCCTTGAAAAAAAAATTGTATATGTTATTTGGAGTTGAAGCTCTTTTTGTGCTTCGTACAGTTGCCTGCCTCAGCTACGCTTCGGCTGTCAATTTTTGTACTCACCACAAAAAGAGTCACTTCTACTCCTTATGACATAATCTACTATTTTATTATTATTAATGACCATTTAGCCGATCTTTGCTTATTGTTGAACGAAGCTAAGTTTTTACACGTCTTAAAGTGCTAAAGGATCATTCTATAGTGCATATAGTTGCCATGGCGGTAAACAAACTGATATTTCTAAAGCTTTAGCAACAGCGGGTTTTTGTAGAAGTATACTTCCTATCTTCCTATAGCAAGTAGCTAATAGCATGCTATTAGCAATTTGCTAATTCAAGATCTCTGATATATTGAAAATAATATTATGATCATAAAAAACCAAGTTCAAAGGCTATTGACCGTAGTCCTTCAGCCGGTTATGATCATATTTTCGCAAATATTTTATTTTGATAATTAATGCGAAGAAATTTCCAGGGGGGGCAAGCGCCCCCCCTCCGGGTGCCCATGGAAACACCCTGTATAAATTGAAAAAAAAAAATTAATTGGGCTGGACCCCCACACCAGTTCCAAATTTAAACAAAAAAAAAAAACAAATTCTTGCAAAATTTGAGGTTAATTGATCAAAAGAAATACGTGTCCCTGAGGTTTTTTTTTAGATAATTTAGAAAATTCAAAATGTTTTTTTTTGGTGATTTTTTTATTAAATAAATAAATAAATAAATAAAATACTTTATTTTCATCCCAAGAAACATACAGTATAGAGGGACACCTCTAATCATACAATTTAATATATATTTTTTAATTCTTAATACATTTTTTAAATCTAAATTAATTTTATTTTATTAATACATTTTTAATTCTAAATAGGAACATATCATTATAATATAATATCACAGAAAAAAGAAAAAATACTACGATATATCATTGTTTATTCAATAAAATTCGCCATAATTGAGGATATTACATTATATTAAACGAAATAAAAAGCATAGGAATGTTGGCACCAGAGGTGAAATATATTATTTTACAAATAATAATATACCAGTATACAGTGTGTCCCCGGATCGGATGGCCAATAGGAAAAACTTAGACCTGATACGCTAAACCGAGCAAGGATTAGGAATCTTCGACCAAAAATTTTGTTACGTGTCCAAGCGTTTAGCTGTGATATTTTAATACTTAGTTAAAAATTTAGCCACAGTGTTATTATAGGGCATTAGCATACTAGTAATGTATGTTTATGCTAAAGTGGACTTTTTAAATATTTTTGACAGTTCTGACACTTTTCTACAATCCAAAATTTAGATGGATATAGGTACGTTCTACCAATTTTTTCTTTCAAAACATCTTTAAAAAATATCTCTTAGAGGGATGAACATTACAGAACAAGACAAAATAAATTTTAAAATATTTTTTCTTTTATAAAACAATAGTCTAAGAACTTAAAACATCCCTTACGTATTCTATTATAGGTACTTAATTCTTTTTTCTACTCCTACCTTTAATTCGTAGGTACATGTTTTCAAAAGTGACCTTTTAAATACACATCGACAAGTTGTGGCCTTATGGTGTTTTAGTCACGGACTGAATGTGGCAACAGGTTTTTAGTCACGGGCTGAAGTTTTAAGTTAGTTGTGTGTTAGTGGTCCAGTTTGACATTAATGTCATACAATCGTTAAAATAAAGTGCCTTTCTTGTAAAATAATACTAAATGTGAAAATTATTTTATTATCTCAATACTAAAATACAAAATTATTGCGCTTTAGTTACAGACTGAAGTAAGCAACAGGTTTTTAGTCACGGGTTGAAGTTAGTTGACAGTTGTCAAATGTCATACAATGATTGTATTACAATCGTTAAAATAAACTTAAAATAAAGTTTTACAATCGAAAGTGCCTTTCTTGTATCTCAATCCAAAAATATAAAATTATTAAATAGTTTCTTGACACGAATATTTTAAAAGATTATATAAACGATTTTACTGACCTTTTGATTTCGCCGTAGTAGTGCAGTTAACTAGATTTAACTAATAGAGCGTTAAAACTTTTGCGTACAGTGCCCATAAAACATTCTCTTTTTTTTTTACTTTGAAAAACTGCTTCTACATATATTGATTGTTAGTTTATTTTCAAGGGATATATTTTGATTTAAACAGAAAAATTTGGGATTTTAACGCCGGTAGATTCCCAACTTAAAAATTCCAATGGGAATTCTAATAAATACAACTGTCACTTTTTGTACCTTTAACATTTTCCGTGTAATAATTTTTAATAGATTGTGATATTTTGCAATTATAGTGACAAAAAATCAAAGGATAAAATTTTTTCTTAACATAATCATAAGTATTTTTAAGTTATTTTAATATTTTAAAATATCAATAATTAATTGTTAAGTTTAATTAAAGTAATAACGGGCAATTTTAATGGTGAAAATTTGAAAAAAAAATGAAAATTACGTCAAAAATGTTTATTGGGATGGTTTATTTTCGTATACAAATATTTAATTTAAATAATTTTATCTACTCCCACAATGACAAGTTGTGACTTTACGGCGTTTTAGTCACAGGATGAAGTTAGCAATATTGGCTTTTGGGCATTTTAGTCACGGGGTGAAATTAGCTTGATTATAAATTCCGT